AGAACAACAAATTTTTTTGTTAACAATTTGTTTCATACTCTATTCACTTAATAATAGAATCGTCGAGTAGATTTAGTAAGTAATCTTATTTGATTTATTACTTACCAAGAATGCCTTGAACTTGAAAGGTAGTAACATAGTGTAATATACAATATAATTTATGCTGACATTAAACTTATATATAACATTTAATATTTAATAACATTTCATTTTTATTCTAAGCAGCGCGATGACAAGGACGTGAATTAAATATTGAATTATATTTAATATGAATTTAATATAATATTTAATATGAATTAAATATTAAATATTATGAATAATATTTATGAATTAACATTTATTATATTACACTGGCAATAATTTAAAATATATTTTCCAGAAATCAATTCTAATAAAAAAAAATTATCCAGCAATTTTTTTGTTTTGCGGACCATTTGGCGCCCCTTTGTGAGTAGCGCCCGGGGCATGATGCCCCCCCTTGCCCACCCCTCGCTACGCCACTGCCCAGAACCACGACCTAGATGGTAATTGGATAGTTGTAGTGGTAGGTGCGCTATAGTAATGGGCTGCAGTAATGTATACATTACTGCCCCGTCAGAATTTTATCCGAGATAAAACTCGATGGATGGATATCACTATAGTGATATCCATCCATTCAATAGCAATGAATCACCTATAGGTGATTCATTGCTATTTTTCTAGAGGCCGGGAGAGTTGTATTAAGATCACTGGATTTTGAGTGCTGGTCGTGAAACCTGTATTAAGATCATGGTTGCAGACGTTGCCCCTCCAGTGTTGCTATTAGCAGTCGAGGGCAAAGGCACCATGTCGCATGAAGGGGACAATGTCGCAGTCACAAATAGCAAGTCAACTGTTCACGGTGGACCATCCATCGAATTAGGTTTTTTCAAATCGAAGCTGGCGTTTCAGTTGAGATAGACGTGCTCTGATCACGTCTGAAAGTCACTAATGCGGGAAGTCGGCTACCGACAATGCCAACCGTCATCTATCAAAAGGTACCTCCAAATAGAATACAGTTGACATGTCTTATATACTAATCATGTAGACCGCTTCAACATCCATGATACTAATGAATGGAAATTGAATAGTGGTAATTTTGCTACGATGTGTATTGCTTGATATAAGCTTAGGTTGTAGCTTACATGTTAGGGTTGTTAAACTAATAGTCATTTTGATCTATTTTGTTAGATGCCTGAAAATATAAAATATGCAATTATGAAAATAGTTTTTGACTAATAAAATTCGATTAAAAACTGTAAATCTATTAGCAAAAATCAGAAAGTTATTACATCTAAACTCAGCTTTTCCTTAGTCTAGTTTGTTTCGTAATCGTTGAAAACACGAGAGATATGGCCGGTTCTAGTACAGCTCCTCAAATTAAGAAAATAAATGATAATGGTAACGGGCTATTATTATACCAGTGTTATCCTTCCTACTACTGCCAGAAGGTATTTATTTTCAATTTAAATTTGCCTAGGTGCTAATGTTTATTTTGAAATCATGTTTGTTTAATAGCCTTGTTATGTAAATATTTATTTTGAAATCGGGAAACTTCACTAATTTCATCATCTTTTATCAACTTTTCCTCAAAGATATGTGCGGAAATTTTTTTGTTTTATTTTATTATAAATTTTGATTAGTTTATTTAATTGTTTTTTAGTAATTCATTAATGTTATCTCTAAATCTGTTAAGTTGCTGATTGTTTGTTAATGAACAAGCAATGTCATACTAATCACCGTAACCTGCTGAATAATTCATGAAAAGTGTTTGTACATTTCTCATTGTTTTTTATAATTTTTTTTTATTTAAAAATTACCTAAATTGTAACTGATATCAAAACTTATGATTATCTACTTATTTCCATTTTTTTATTATAATTTTAATGTAAAGTATTTTATCAATGTAATAAAATTTGTTATTCACAAAAAACTTATTTTAATATTATGTAGAAATTTTGAAGACTGTACAAAATTTTAGCTTTTATATAATAACAGAGAAATTCTCTAAAAGTTCTAGGGAAGAAGCAGGCATTCTAGTTATTTTAAAATCTATTTGGCGATTGTAATTGGCGTAACAGATCATGATACGGAAATATCCCCTGCCAAATATTGGCAGTTATTCTGCCACAGATTGCAATTCAAAAATCTCCATGGACAAAACATAGCATTTAACACTTAAGTGGGTGCTTGCATCTCGAGAAGAAAATTATCACTGATGCCCAAACACATGACCTTGGTATTAGCTGAGTGTTCATAAACAAGATGGCGTGTTAAAGTCAAGCTAAGTTTCTCCGCAGAAGTTAAAATGTTAATTAAATGCAACACCATGTCGCCTATCAAATTCGTTAAATTATAATCCTTTCTAGTCTACGTCTTTTACTTAATTTAGATATACTATTTGTTAATGTATGTTATTGTAACCTTGATATAGTTTTGTTTTGTGTATCTGGAAACTTTAATGCGTAATTTGTCTGTTTATGTTCTGCATGGCTTCGTACCCATCTTTGTTTTAAGTGAGAAAAATATAGTGAAAGATCTTCTACATATATACGACAAAATATACTACATACTACAAAAATATAGTGAAAGATCTATCTTTCACAACTCTAGATCGTTGTGAAAGAGCATAGACTGTGTCACCTATATACTTGCCTGGCTTGGCATACTCTAAATAAAATTTAAAGAACAATTGCTAACATAAGCAAATGCCTGGTTTAACAACCAATCAGGATCAAAATATATCCACCAGAGGTCTATCCAGGCTGCCGTTTAGCGGTATCTTCACGAATTCAACTTTAGGAAAAACAGTTTCACAAAATGCTTTTTCTTAAAATTATATTTTTGTATCCCGTAAGAAACGATAATTCCATATTTTTGTGTTGATATTTTAATTTAATTTTTAATTTCACAAATTATGTCTTAAATTTTCACAAAATAAGTACCTCACAGAAAAACCTAGACAGACCCTTGCCTACTCTAGGTCTCTTGCAGGTATCCCTTTGGATTCATTGTTTTAAATTGTATGAGTTGAACATGTTCAAACATTCTTCTAAAAAGAATTGTTCAATATTTAAATTAATGCCAAGGGTCTATTTAGAAGAAATTTGGGTCTGTTAACGGGCCCTTCACAAAATATTTCATAAAAACTGACCTTTCACAAAATATTTTAACTTAAAAACAGACCCTTCACGAAATGATTTTTCTTTTAGTCGGACCCTTCACAAATTTGTTATCTTCATTATTGTTTTGTTAATCAAATAAACCCTTCCCAAGGGGAATAAAATAAAGATGGCTGTAAACGAATTAAGTTTTGTCTTCGGCAGACGTTCTTCCATTATTCGTTCGAAATGAGTATTCTGCGTTCAGCAGTATAGGCTAAATACAAAATATTTGTATGTTGCATCTATTTAGAAGCAGCAATTGCTGTTTATTTTTGAAAATTTTTTTTTTAAAAATTATAATTTTGAAGTGTTGAGCATAATCTTGTATCTATTTACAATTTAAAAACTCCTTGAAAAAAATTTTTTGCAATAAGGACTCTATTTGCACAAATTCATAAAAGCAGGACCCTGGTTGAAAGAGTGTGACTTAACGTTTATTTTATATTCACAAATTATGAGTAATTTTTTCACAATTTTACAAAAACGGACCTTTCACGAAATGTCTGGACAGACTCCTGAATTCTCTAAAGCATTTCATTATTCTTGAGGGTTTACTCAATATTGTGAATTAGTAATGTATGTGAACTAAATAAGAATCAATGTTATTGCTTAAAAATAGAAACAAGTTTCTTTCTTTTTTTTTTTTTTTTTTTTTTTTTTTTTTTTTTTTTTTTTTTTTTGTGACTGATTTAAATGGTTTCAAACTGCCATCTTTGTGAATGGCTTTAGACTTTTTCCTTCATCATCATAAGAAAAATAGAAAAGGATAATCAGCTTCACAAAAAACTCAAGAGAATATTTTTATTTCTAAATTAAACAACCTCTTTGATATTGCATGTGCTATAATGTGCTCAAAATATTAAAAAGTCTTGATAAAGTTTTTTCTAAAATGGAACAAAAACAGGCAATTAAGGAAGATTGCAGGAAAAGATTACGAAAGGAAAATTTGAGAAAAAAAGTGAAATTACTGAATATATTTCAGCTTCCAAAATATCAAGCTGCCAAAATTGTAATTTCTATGGCAGAATTATTAATGATTATGATGAACGTGGTATTAATCTCATTTAAGAGTTCAGTTGATTATTAACAAAAGATGAGTCTCACCTTAAATTCCGAATACAAGTGTATGAAGTAACATATTCTGACAATCGCAAACAGTCAAAATTTGAGCCTGCTTGAGCTACCTTTAAATTTTAATATTTTTTAATTAAAATTGAGCAACCTTATTTTTTCTCTAAAAAGAACATTTTTAGATGATAAGACCAACAAAATTTAAAAAATGAAAAATCATTCTATTTAAGGACCACAGCTCTACTGTACACCAATCCACTGGTTTCCCCGGTTTTTGCATATTTTTTTTACTTTGCAGTGTTTCTAACAGTATTTAAAGAATGACTGTATTGTAAAACTATTTCAAGGACAGGTCTTACTAGTTTTCAAAGATTGGTTATTTGTCAGAGTTTGTTTACACTTGTCCAATGTATTACCCTTTGCAAATAGTATTATTACTATTTTTTTGTCATGAAATAAAAGAAGAATGAGTGATAGTGGCTCATAACAAGATATAATTCTATCTGCTATCTCCTTTTTTTAAAGTGCCTTACCAAAGCTTAATTTTCTAAAAGAAATGAAAGGATAAATATTTTAAAAAATACTAGTTTTCTTCATTCCATTTATTCCCTGTAAGATGTTCTTTCCAGTTCTTATACCTTCTTCAGAAAAAAGTCATCTTCCGATAAAAGTACCTTATTTCTGCCATAATTGAAAGTTATAAATAAATGTAATACTTATAACAGTTTTGATTGCTGATTTGATAATCAACATGGTGCACCGTAGCGTTTTTAAAAAGTGCTTTAAGGTGCTTATTTTTTTGTTTTTTGAAAGCCCTTAAATGTGCTTTTTTCATGTAATGTTTTTAAAAAGTACTTAATTTTTTATTTTCGAAAATGAGATTTTTTCTTTCCCATATCGATTTTCGCCATGTACTATGCAAAATCCTGATTTTCACATTGTTTTATTCAACGTTCACGTTGTTCTATTCCACTACCTATTTAGGCCTACCGTCTGTCCATAGCATATGAAAGCGCCGATCATTTTACATGTTTGATAAAATGCTTGGGAGTCTGAATGTGCGTCTACTGAGCTGGGTTTGGTGAATTGCACTCTCATGCGCAACTCTGCTGCATTATTTCAATATATTCTCAATTTCAGGCTTCATTTTCCAGCCTTTGAAATTGAGATGAAAAATCTCTCCTGCATTTTAAATGGCTAATTTAACCAAGAAAAGGTTCTTTGTCTGAAACTAGTTATTTTATCATGATCATGTGAAGTCTTTGAAAACTATTTTGCATTTTGTTAAAGTATATATAGTGCTTAAAAATATTTTTTTGAGTCTTTAAAAACTACTTTAAAAGGGGCTTATTTTTTGTTGAAATATTTGGCTGTGCACCCTGATCAATTAGAATACAAAATTCTTTTACTTATTTGTGGTCCTACAGTGTTTTCATTACAGAAAAAAAATGGGAGAGAATTTCTCACCCTTTCTGAAAAACAGGGTGAGATTTCAAAAAGTTAAGTGAGATTTCTAAGATGTCGCCTTAGCAAGGTATTTGTCCTTCTTACATTTATGCACAAAAAATGTAAGCGTCTTACATGAAGAACCCTTACCTACGGTGAACACCTGGTTGCAGAGAAATGTGTTCTGAAAGGGCTTCCGTGGTTCGGGGGGTGTTCTGAACAATACTGGTAAATAGGGAAGCTAGATAACAAGGACCGATGTTCAAAATAATGAAAGATCAAGGAAGAAAAGTGAAACAGATTTTATTCAAAATGGCAAAAGACGAAATTTTTTCCAAAATTCGGGCATTTTGAAATTGATTAATAGAGTGCACAGACTTCTCGCATTAATCATTTTTTATTGCGTGAAAAGAAAAAAATATGCGAGATTCTCGCGCTGTAGTGAAAACACTGTCCTAATATGGCAGGAAAATGAAACAGTTTAGTGGTTGCATTTTTTATGTAATGATGCCTTGTAAGAAGTTAATTTGAAATATTGTTCACTTTTGTAGGTTGTGTTTGCTTTGCAAGAGAAGAAATTAAAGTACAAATCAAGAATCATAGATTTATATCGAGGGGAACAACTAGAACCTTGGTTTCTAAAAATTAATCCCAAAGGAGAAGTTCCAGTACTTCAGGATGGCGTGAAAATCATTCCAGATTCAAGGAGAATCATAGATTACATTGAAGATAATTTTAGCAATGGTACATTTTTAAAATCTCTTCAGTTATTAACTAACATTTTCTGATTCATCCGCTCATTATTGCTTTCAGTTTTAATTGAATTTGGTACACCTACTTAACATAGTTCGGTAAAGTTTCAAGTTGAGAAATTGAAGGTTCCTATAATACAAAGGGACTTGATTGAATACTATTCATTCATAATCATAACCTGATAAGATAAGTTAATCTAAACTTTTCCAAATGAAAGAAAAATCCTTTTATTTTAATCAAAAAGGAAATATAAACTTTAAATAATATAAGTTAATGTTTTTTTCCAACAAAGGATTCAAAATTAATGTTAGTCCATTGATCGAAGAGCACTTAAATTTGATTTGTGCTACTGTGAAGTAACTTATGAAATTATCAGTGGTCTATTGGGTCTCACGAACCAGCTATTGGTGTTAAGAGATGGTATGCCTTTTTTATTTTTAAATTCTTGTTTTAATCTGTGTTTTTATCTCAGAATAAAATATTTCTTTACAATTGTGAAAATAACAAATTTTTCTTTAAAAAAATTCTAATGAGGATAACAATCTAAGCGGGCAGTTTAAAGTAATATCTTTTAGTTATTGGTCCTTTAGACTAGTAACTAAATTTTCTTACTTTTTACTCATGCTGTGTTTAAGCTGTAATGTTTTCATGTGCTAAATTTATTGTTCTTGTTATTAGGTAATACACCTCGCCTTATTCCTGAAAAAGGTAGTGTAAGTTATCAAACTATGGAGCGAATGAGAGATTTGCTAGATAATATTCCAATTGGACTTATAACGTATGGCTGCCTTTTCAATACATCTTTGACTGGCATAATAAAAATGTCTGCTCCAGAAATAAGAACACGTCAAGGTATTTTTTTTAGTTTTTTATTTTATTTTCATTCATTAAGATCTTCTTGGTTAGTAAGAATGCTTAAGTTTTTATTATTCTTTTTTCTTTATGTTTTATTTTTTAACTAGATTTTGCTTTTCAAAAAGACCAACATTCATTTTGAAAATTGCTGTTTTTGTAAAGCTTTTAGATGATTATCATTCTCAAAAGGCTGACAATATGTTCATGTAGTATCATTTTAACCTCACAAAATATCTGCAGTTGATGCTTTTGAAGTATATTCTTTTTACCGGAGAAAGTTTGCAAAAAAGCTTTTAGATGATTACCATTCTGAAAAGGCTGACAATATGTTCATGTAGTATCATTTTAACCTCACAAAATATCTGCATTTAATGCTTTTGAAGTATATTCTTTTTACCGGAAAAAGTTTGCAAAGAAGCTTTTAGATGATTATCATTCTCAAAAGGCTGACAATATGTTCATGTAGTATTGAAAAATCTTTACATTTGGATCTTGCAGTGCACACCAGTATCTTGAAGTCCGTTTAAATATTGATGACTGCACAGGTATTTCCATCTATAATAAACTGAAAACTATTTGGCAACATCATAAAATACACCTACACTGGGTGCTGTCTCATGTGGATATTTATGGCAACCAAAGAGCAGACAAACTCTCCAAGGAAGGTTGCTGTCAACAGACTTCTAATACCACCAGACTAACATTTATGGAACTTTATTCTATCTAAAAATCTGCTGTTAGAAAAGACTGGCTATTGCCCCCCACCAACAACTGGTACATGGCGACAAGACCAGGATTCTCTCCTTTTCTTTTCAGGCGACAGATCTACCCAAATTTGCCTATCGTGTCTCGGTCACCTGAAATTTTTATAATTTAGTGCGGTAAAAACCTTTCCCCATTGTCCAAAATGCCACATTCAACAGGCCCCTCCCAAACATATCTTGAACTCCGTAGAGAAGAAATCTACTCGTCTTCTCTGTTTGTCATTAACATACTTAAAGTCAAGAGTTTATACCTGATCTGACTGCGTCAGACCAGGTAGGAAATAATACTAAAAAGAAGACTTTTTTCAATTGAGCAAAATTAACTTTTGTCCATGGAAATAATTTTTTTCTCCAAAAATCAGTGTAAATGAATTTTATTTATTTTTTTTCTTTTCTTAAAAAAGCCGACCCTAGCATCAGTTTTTACCTTGGCCCCAGTGTTGGGTTCAATATGGATCTTATAAAAACATGCACCGAGGAACCAATATTGGGATGTCTATATTTTTTAATATTGGTCCTAGTATGGTCTATATTATCTGAATGATGAATATAATTTATTGGCCGAATCTGACAATTAAATATAGGGTCGATATTGGTTGTAAAGTGGCTGTAAAATATCGGGGGAATTCCATTTTGGGTCAATATCGGAAAAATAATGGTTCTTTGAACGCTTATTGAGCCGAGATTTGTGAATATTGTCCTATGAGGGTTCAAGTTGTTTTGCTGCTATAGCTCGGCTTTTTTTGTTTTAAATTGTCATTAAATATCAATACAATTTTTGAAGTTTTTTATTGTGAAGAGTTACCTGAACTCTTAAAATACCATAAATTTAAAAGCTGGTGAATTTTTAAAACTATGAAATTTTAAAAATTTAAACTCCAAATTTTTCTTTCATTTTTGCAATTTTATAAAATTACATTTTAAGAAATTGTAAATTTCTACTGAATTCTTCTGTAATTTGAAATAAAATTACATTTACAACTGGTTCAAAATGAGGTTACTTCTATCTATCTTGATTTCTTCGAATCGTTTGGTTAAATTAAGAAAAAATCAAACTGCCATAAAATTATTTGTAACTTTTGAAGTTTTATTTTTTTCTCTAATTAAAATTTCGTAGTAAATATTTTAAAGCAAGTATTTGCTTAAAAAATATGTTCCCCAGCATCTATATATCTGTTCCTTGTGTGTAGAAAATTTAATACAGGATTATCTGTTATTTCTTTTTAATATTTAAAATTGTGAATAAACTGAACTTTACTTCAAATTTTGTTTTTTACTCTATTTTAACACTTTTCATTTTAGGCGCCTATAATATGATTGAAAATTTAATCAATGATTACAGTGAAAAAAATACAGATTTTAAGGACCTCTATAGTGCTAAAAAGACTAACTTAGAAAAAAACCGTGCCAATGCCATGAATGTTAGTGAGGTTGAAAATGGACTATTAGATGTTGAATATGCTTTGAAAGAAGTGGAAAAAGTTCTCGCTAGTCATGAGGGAGGTATGTATTCATCTCTTTTCTGATCTAATACTCTACATTTTCAAAATATAAATTAAAATGAATTATAAGCACACAAAAAAAAATATTATTGGCGCAAATGAATGGTGATTTTCTTAAACATTTCTTATATTTATGACTATGAAAATAAATGTAAAATAAAATAGTTAAGTTTTGTTGAATTGATGATAGAAAAATATGCTATTTATTTTGAGTTTCAAGTGTTCATTGAAAGAACCTTTTATTTCCTGGAAAATATCAAAATATTTTTTGAATAGTTTAAGTAATAATGCTTTTCCTTTTAATTTTTGTAATGTTAATTTTTTAATTAAGAAAATGATTGAAGAATTCTAGTTTTTTATATATTTTTTCTTTTAACAGGGTGCAATTCAGGTCTTAACTGAGCAGCGCCAGTTAAGCATTCTATTAATATGTTACGTATCTTTTCCTTGACTTCTTTTTTTCAATCTGCGCATTGTAATAGTGGGCGTTGTTTTCTTTAGTTTTAAGTGTTTCCTCTTCATTCGGTTTGCTTATGAAATCGCTGTTTGACCTGGTTAAAGTGAGTTTTTGTTTTCTAATGATTTTGTTTGAGTTTCTTTTCTAAATTGGTTCCTTGTATTTCATGTTTTTTCCTGGACTTCTATGCGAAACCTTCGGGGTACTGAGTGAGTTACTTTAGGCATTTGCTTCTCCCTCAATAGAAAAGGTTTTGTTTTATGGCTACCAGGGCCGGTACCCCCTGAAGACATAGGCTTCGGTGGTCATATTTTTATTTCATTCGTTTCCATTATTGCTACATTTATCCTTTTTTTGAAATTTCTGCTGATTTTAAGCGCGTTTTTTTCAAAGAAGTTTTATCTATTTAGAATTTTTAAAAAAAAATTTTGTTTTCTTTTAGTATTTATTTGTTGTAAATATTTTTAATTTAATTAATAATGCTTGAAATTTATCATAAAATTCAATAGCTCAAATTTAGGAACCCTTTACTAATTACACACATGGTTATAATGAAAACTGACATATTTCCTGTATTTTTGTTTCCAGATAATCAAAACTCTACTTTAAAACTATTTGATTGGAAAGTCTTGAACTCTTACAGAAATTTTAATTAAATATTACTACGAGAGGAATAATCAATACTGGATTTAAGTTTTTGCAGTATTTTTTTGGCATCAGTGGTTTCTATTCAGTATTTAGAGTGCGTAAGATAACTACCAAGGTCTCCAAATCTTACCAAACAATTTCCTTTTAATTGCTTAGAGCCCAAGTCTGCTCGAGATATACACTACCCTACGATAATGGAAGAGACACTTTCAGTTTTTGACATATTTTTAAATTTCTCAAGAAATGCTTAAATGATTATTTTGTAACGTTTACATGCCTGCCAAGTCTCCTGTTCTTTAATGAAGAATCTTGTATTTTACGACTATCTCCTGTTTACCCGTATATTCTCACATTTCTCTGAATTTTTTGAAGAAATTAAAAAAATAAAAAAATTGGTGATAAAATATCCATTAATGCCAAAAATACTTCTATTCCTCAACAGATTTTGCTATCGTCAGTACTGCAGTATGTTGAGTGTTTAACTCAAGCTATAATGGCACAGGGAATAGAGCATTCTCCTTCTTTTTAACTAGTGAACTTTTGTTTGCAAAATACTTCTTATTCCTCAACAGATGGTACTATCGCCAGTACTGCAGTATGTTGAGTGTTAATAGTTTAAGTCGAGCCATGATGGTTCAGGGGATAGGGCATTCTCCTTCCAATGAGGTGAACCGGGTCCAAATTCCAGCAATGACTAGTCAATACAATATTCTCAGTGGTAGACAGATCACGGGTTAAAGTTCCCTTGAAGTCAGGCTAACTGAGAGAGATTTTCCTCTTCATGTAACTCAAATGCAGTTTGGTTCCATCAAAAAGTCCTCCATGAAGACAAATTTCTTCCAATGCTTGATCCAGTAGTTCCATTGTCTTCTAGATTGGGTTCAAAATTACAAGCCTATGGAGTTTAACATTAGTAGTTGTAAACTCAAAATTGGGTCGGCTGTTCAACGACGGTTATAAAATAAAGTAATAAGATGGTTATCGAGTAATAATAAATAATAGTTTGAAAAAATATTCTTTAGATTAGGATTTATATCAGGGTTGGGTTTTTGCCGTCAAAAACTGGTTTTTGACATGACAGTGGTAAAAACCCTGTTTTTACCGGTAAAAACTGTCAAAAACCTACTGTTTTCTTTAACTTATGGCATATAGCGGACAATATATTATTTTCACATAGTTGCCTTTATAAATGAATGTTGTAAATGATTGCTATTGATTTTGCAACTATATACATGTATTCTTATAGAAGGATATACATTCATACAGTAATAATGTAATATACTTATTGAAAATAGTGATACTTACTTTTATCATTATAGCTTGATTTTCAAATGATTCAAAATTTTGCACTTCTTAATTAACTAAAGAACTAAAGAGAAACTAAAGAACTAATAAGAAGAATTTAAAATTTGGCATTTCTTAAATATTAGAAATAAGCTAAAATAAACTTTCAAAACTTGTAAGTACTAACAAACTCTAAGTCAAGAATTACTGCTATTTTGTCAAGTTAAAAGCTTTTATTCAGTTGAAAAAGCATATTAAGCAAAACTTAATTA